TATCCTTTTTAAGTGTGAGCCAATCACATCGCTGGTCAGCCACTCGCGGCCGAACTGTTAATTGTTCAAACTATTAACCAGGAGGTCACGGGTTCGAGACTCTGTGGAGTTTCGTGAGATGCGCACTGCTGACGACTCTCAGTAAGGATGAAACAGCTGTTCAGTGTTTATTGGCTTTTCGGTATAGATTGGCTTCAATTACAGGACGGATTTTCTTCTCCTATCACACCACTAACCATCTGAAGGTTTACCAAGTGCCCTCAGCGTGGATGCTCCTGTGCGAGGAAATCAAGGGTGAAGGGGCTGAAGGAATAAACTGGGAAATATCAAGACCACGGCTCAAGATAAATATTACCCAGAACGTTCGCACGTTGGGCCCATCTCCTATGAAGAATGGGAAGGCTCCAAAATGAATGCAGTACAAAGTCCATCCCAGATTCATCAAAAAGGATGGTCTAAACGTGCATTGTGCGTGAGTGGCTTTCAGCTAACTGAGCGTCGATGAAGGTAATTGTCCCGCGATGGGATGTTCGCTTAGGCGGCAGATATGAGTTCCCTTAGGCGTCAACAAAAAAAATTACAAGAGCCTCTGAAAAAATTCAGTGATTTCCCTTGGAAGTTCCGCTGAAAATGGACGTCCGGCAAAACGAGTCAAAGTCAAACACGGCGCATTGCAGCCCAAGTTAACCTCAGGGATTAGTATCGAAACATTTTGGTTGTGTGAGTGGTTTTAATGCAATTGTCCGTTCGATTAGGTGAGAAGTGTTTCAGCTATCGTGGCTTGTGGGTGATCGCGTGGTAAACGTATTGCCTGCCTTTAAAGTGGCACTGAATATTTCGAAGACGAGTTTTTCTATCATCGGGGCAATGGACAGGCTACCTTTGGCTCCGTTCAGGGATTTTATGCACTTACTGGCAGTTACACAAGGATATCATTGACACTTTCACAATTCTAGTATGACTTGCTGCCTGACAGACCTTGCTAGACGGGCTTTCGCTCGTTGGCCTTTTCTCAGCTTTTCATCNATACATTCGCGCTCTAACCACTTGGGCCATCTTGCCCAGAAAGTCGATACACTTTACCAGTGTTGCCGACCTGATGACTGCCTAAAACTTAATCTATGTCCGGTAGCTTAGTGGTGAAAATTCGGTTTACACAAAGCAGCAGAAAACCCATCTTCGTCCTCTCACCACGCTAGCTCTGGGCCGATGGACACCAGAATAGATTCAGGCCGCAGTCTTCTCAGTCGAGGCAACACAATAAAGGAACCGGAGGCAAATGACCACTGGACGTTTGAGGACCAACTACCCAATAAAGTTCACAACTCTGAATCAATCAACCATGTGTATATGTTGACGTACAAACCATAATCCATCAAAACCGGAGTTTGTGGAAGAACCAGGGATTTTCGTTTGTTTTGTACCTGCAGTAGAGGATGTAATACAAATAACCTCCTACCTTTGCTGCAACTTCAGCTTTGCTTCCAAACGAGCCTTCCTTCGCAAGGATTTGTCCACCAAGGCGTTCTTATTGATGAGCTTCGTGTCAAACAGGATATTGACTGAATGACGCGTCGGCATTAAATGATTGTAATTGTATATCTTCACGAAGGGTTTTATCTTCGACCGACTTTCCATACGCCGCTTGCCCATTCTTCTCACAATACGCCGAGGGTACCGGTCTATTCCAACAACGAGCGCATGGCCGTACGGCTTCTCTTTGGAGCCGTCATCGTAGCTTTTTACGACTATTGCTTTCCGACCAGCATATCGACCACCCAATACTAGTACGACAACACCGGGGCGCATAAGCCGCACGGAGGTTCTAAATTCCCATTCGGTTTATAAAAATAACAAGACATACCGCTGTTCACGCGACATTCCGGCCGTTCAACTGGCGCGCCAAGTGCTTGCCCCACACGTCAAAACAAGGGTTCTAGTGCGTCCAACGGCCCTACACATGGACAGGAAGACCGAGGCCGCAGACTGGGGTCGGTTACTTGTGGCGGCTGGCGTTCTACTGAACTGTAAAAGCTAACTGGGATAAGGATAGAATATGCGCTTCATATACTGATGGAAACGATCGGCACTGTGTGTAAATGGGTTCAGGTTGTCAGTAGCTGTGTACAAGCAGAGAGTCGAAGACCCGCACACTTGGATAGAAAAGTATTCAGCTAGGTATTCACTAGGTAAAGAAATGAGTGAGGAGTAATGGTGCGAACCAAGGCAGAAGGTGAATTATGTTGTTGAGCATTGAGATAACAGAGTCCTTAGGCGAGTCGCATGCGTTTGAAAA